CATTACTCTCACGATTTTTGTTCATGTTAAATTTCTGTTCAATTACTTGAGTGTTTTTTGGGCTATCTGTATGCTTGCAAAACATACAGGATCTCAAAGGCTGACTTCATTGAAGCCTGACAGAATCACTGACTTGGTCCTTTTGCAAATTTTACGTCTAACCAGTGAAACTTGGATTTTCCCATGTTGTTTTTGTTTCTGTAATTTGGCAATTTCTTAGGGGTTCTCTTGGCAGAGTTTATTCATAACACAACAGGACTCCTGTAGTAGATTTGCCTCTGCATTAATTTTTTCTCCTGAATAATTTCACAGACCAAAAAATGAAATAACAGACATACACACGTACACAAAGTTATATTCATGTGGACGCTTTTTAATACCTGCCCATTGGGAAGCTCATGTCTTTGATGTGTGCACTTAAAATTGTTTTATGTGTTTGAGACATGAAGATCTTACTGTCTCCATCACCTGTTTCATGCAGTCATGCTTTCCCCATTCTTTGCTTAAAATGTAATATGTCAGTGCAGGTGTCGGCACTTTTCTCCAAATATCTGACAGTATGCATGCACCATTACACAAAGTATCAAATACAAAGCTACCACTTAATTTCATCATTAAACTTATCATTAACAGCACCACCAAGCTTTTCCTTGGTGTCTTAAATTCTCCCTGAAATAATGAAGCTGGTTCTGAATATAAAGTTGTAATATGGTACCTAATTCACGCACCTTCAACTCCAGCATGATTTAATAGATGCACACACAAAAATATATCTTCTCAAGGTTTTTTTTGTATTGCATTTGCTAGCAACCAAACAGAACTTTTTTTTCTTTTATTGCTGGTATCCAGTAGATTCTACTTTCATTTTAATGCTTTCTTGTACAATACAAAAGAAACATTACTACTTCCTAGATCTCATTTATAATCCTTTCCCTTCATGCTCCTTCTTGCGGTTTTATCATTAATGTTAATATTCTGTTGACTCTTAAGAAGTTTCTATTACTGAAAATGAATAAATGAATACTAAGAGAGCACTGTTTTGAAATGGAGGCCAAGTACACAGCCTGGATATAGTTCTCATATATAACTGCATTTCTATTGAGGAAGAAATAGCAATAGGTAAACGATAGAAATTGACGTTCTGTTTCTTTAGTAAAATGTATTATATACTGGCTTTATCTCCCTAAGTTTTAATACTTACCTAAAATTCTAGAGCATACTGAGCAGTTTAAATTAATGAAGTGACCAAACAGCATAAACATACCTAAAAAGCACTGGTTAAACTGAGTAAACTCAGTTTCCGAAGATAAGCCACTGAGTAGATCTCCTATCTACTCAAAACAAATGAAATGTCCAGCTGTTTCACCACGCACACAGTACCTATGACCACAAAAAGTCTTAATGATCATGCTACAAAGTACTGAAAATGCCTTTCATAAACATGATAAGCTACAGGAATTCTTTATTGCCCCAAATGCATATTGAGTTACAAAAGAATAATTCCTATGCCGGTATTCACAATATTCTGTGTGTTTTCAGACTGAAATAACTTCAGAAGATTAAAACAAACAACAAAACCCACTACCTGATAAAAATAACTGCCTTCAATTCAAGCAGGATGTAACCTTTCTGCTTCTCTACAGTACCCTGGGTTTTCTGAGACTTGTCTGCCTTTGACTGTTCATGACTTTTAAAATCACTCCTGCTCCTTCTAAACCTTTCAACATTTATCGCAGAATATTTGCTCTAGGTGTAACATTTTTGCACCTTTGTTACTTTTAAGTACATTCAGTCAACTTCTACTTTTCCCCCTCCTGTGCTGTACAAAACAGCCTTGCTCTAGCACATTCAGAAGTCCCTGGAGGAAAGCACAGAAAGCAAACTCAGTTCAGCTGGTACCACTTGAAAGGCATCAAATGGAGACAAACACTGTGTGCTGGTTAAAGTAACAAACCTCTACATCTGTTAAATGCCAGTGCTCAGAATGAGGACAAAGTATTTTGCCAATAGTGTTTTAGCATTCTGTCTCTGTTAACACAGTGTTACCATTGCTTGGAACAAGACACAGCTTTTGGATCAAGCTAATGACATGGGCATCACTTGTTTTTGCCTGGCTTACTCGGATATTTACAGAATACATTATTTTTGAATACTTCCAGGATAACTTAAGCTCCAAAGGGCAGTTACCAAATGACCAGGTTACTATCACCATTTTTGCACCAGCTGTTCAGTTTTTTATAGCTACGTGGCATAACACCTTTTATAGGATTTACCTGGCAAGGTTTTGGTGCTGGGGAGGAGAGCAGGAGAGCGGGGTGGCTTTGTCAGCAAGAAGTTTGTATCTTACAGATACCAGTAACAAGCACTTTGTGAATGATCTTCCAATAACAAGCAGTTCAACTAATTACAGGTATTGCATAACACCAGAGGTTCCATGGCTATGAAGTAACTCACCATCAAAGGAAACAAATCTTTGCAGTATGGTAAAACCAGTCATAAGGGTAACAGAGATGTCACATGCACTTGAAATCAATGGTAAGAGTAAGGTGTACAACATGTTAACAAACATATAAGACAGATCCCAACTGGATTCCGGAGAGGAAAAAGAAATAAATGTTACTATAGGACTCCTACAAGCAGTTGTAATAGCAGTTTTACTGCAATGCTCCCACAACTGATCAGAAGCCACTGACCTTCAGATCACAAAAGGCTGTGCAAGAGGGAGCAATAAAATACATCACAGAAAGACAGAGGTATGAAGAACAGGATACATTTTTAATTTTGGATTGTTAGAACTAGATGTGCTGTATCACTCTCTACTGCAATAATAATAATAATAAAAAACCCTTTCATTAGACTGTTAAGATTTTAATTAAACTAGCATTAAGTTCTTGCCTATGCATACAAAGTATTGATTGTGTATCCTTGAAGCCTGAATAGTACTTGTCAGTCATGTTTTTTCCAGACCATTCCAATGCCAGGTGAGCAAAATAGAAAACTGAGTAATTTTTATTGGTTCATAACACTTTATAAAGTTATAGAAAAATGAAAATAAACCAAAGAAATTATGAAAAAAAGGTATTGGAAGTTATGGGTGATTTCATGGGAAAGCTAAAACTCTTAAACACCAACCCAAAAGCCACAGGCTGGGTTGAGTTTTGCACTGAAATGATGGCTGCTTGCAACATCTCTGTGATGCAACAGATACAGAAATAAGCTAGCTCTGAGTATTTTGAAGCATCCTTTCACTGACTTTGGAGGAACAAGCAAAAAGCTTCTTTATTTAGAAACTGAAACTTACTTCCTTCTCACTGGAATCCTGAAAACATGTTTTCAATTCCACTATTCCTCTTTCATTAACTTACACAATTTTTCATAACCCTCTCCATTATCTATATATGTATTTCTTTAAGTGAAATAAAGATCTCTGTGCCAAAAATCACAATGAAAAATGTTATCTCTATCTTCCTCCAAAGAGTCCTCCATCTGACAAAGACTGAAAATATTATCATAATAAAGGGAGTGATGAAAGACAGAAACAAGAGGTAGGCATTTCTATGCTTATCAATGATTACAAAAAGGATTTTTGTTCAAGGAAAGGAAGAGTTGTAACAGGTGAAGTTCAACAAGGAAGGTGAAGCTCAACAGGGTAATATGCATGTGCTTGCTTCTGTAGTTTCTTTAAATTACGTATTTGCTACTCAATTGCTTTTACAAGATAATTCCAACAAACACATTATGAACTACGCAATTATACCCATAAAGAAATTCCAGGCAGCCTGACCAAAGGGCAAGAGAGAATGCTGAAGGATGACTGTTAGGATCAAAGAAAAGACAACGTGAGACTGAGAAACAGTAACATCATGTTAACTGGTACACAATCAGCCAACATAATGCAACATCCCCTGTAAAGAAGGTTCATTCACTTTCAAGACTGGCATGAATATTTAGCAGAATACTTTTGTTTTCAGTTCTGCTCCATGTAGGAATAACTGGTAAAATGTTATTTTTGAATGAATGCAGTATGTCCTCTGTTTGAAATTAAAGCAAAAGGTGATAAATGTTGTTCCAGTTGAGGAGCGGTTCATATTATATATTATGAGGCCTGACTGAAATGGTGCAGCAAAAAGATTCAAGCATTGTTTCTTGTTAGTAAGAAAATATATTAGGAGAAAAGGGTAAAGAATACTGCTGGCACAGCCACCTTCTTATCTCACCTGGTAAGGGGGGGTGTAGGGCACATCCTGGTGAATGAAGTTCTTCTTGGAAGAGGTTACACAGAAGCAACTGACAGTGGCAAATTTCACTGGGTTCTTGCTTAATAAAGCCCTAAACCTTCAATTGTCCTTTCCCACCCACCCCACCCCAACCCTCTGGACAACAACCACGATCCACTCAAGCAGCACAGTCACGGCTAGCAATACAATGTTTACTTTTCCCCCACTGATTGCTCTCTTAGCAATGTCTCTTAGAAGCCACAGGAAAATTAGACAGAAAATACAGTAAAGCTATGACTCTAGTAGATTAAAAAATCAGTGTATGTTTTTAGAATCAGCTCTTCTGTTTCCTGGGATAAAGCTGGGTAAATTCTGGCCTTCTAAAAGTTTACCAAATATCCTACAGAAATAGTTCTTGAATCCCATGTAAGAATGATGTACATCATTATGAACATTTATCAGATAGACCACATATTGAAAGGTTCTGACCCTGTATTCAAGTCAGTGCAATAGTGTTATTTCAGAAAAGAAAAAATACAGGTTTTAAAAAGTAATGGTTTCCTCAGGTTTCCAGGTCTTGAAGACATAGTTTATCAATCTCAAGAAACAAACATGACTGAAGGATTTTCTTACTCACAGTGAATCACCAATGGATGACTAAGTGCACAAAATGGTAAGAATAATTTTTATTTCAAATAATAACTTTGTCATAGCTTACTAATAATTTATTCATAGATACACTTAATGAAGATACTGCCAAAAAAGTGATGTTTGACCGTAATAATACAAATATTATCTTAAGTAGTAGAATTTTGCCAGCAATCGTAACTTGCAGCTCATTTCACATACAGCGGTATTTAATTATATCCGTAAGTGCAGAGTGTCCAGATGTTGCTTTTTAATTTAATAATGATGGAACCAATGAGATGCTGATAGGTTTGTAAACTAAGCCTTCAGAACATGGAGAGTTCCACAGGGCCTTTAAAAACAAACAAAACAAACAAACAAACAAAAAAAGAAAGAAAAGAAAAAAGAAATGAAATTAAATGAAATCTTAGTGATGCATGGTTTGATGGCAACACAAAGTAAATGAAGAATTACTGTTTCTGCTGTGTGCAGTAATGCAGGAGCACATAATAAAGTCTGTTTCACACTAATGATTAACACAACAATGATGTAAGTGACAATGCAGAGAACAACAGGAATATGACTGATCACCTTGTGCATGACACCATTCCAGTCAGAAAACCCTTGTGTATAACAGATGCCCGTGTTTTTACTGGAATAAGGTCACCAGACTGAACCATGCTAACAGAGGAAATCTACATGCATCATGCACACAACATTCAAACATTTCCACATTACAATAAAACTGTAAGTAGATAAGTTTGTAATAAAAAGCAGCCACCCTAAGTATACTAATGTGGCAAAACCCATACACATTGTTTGTAACGCAGTGGTTATCCATGCCTCATTTCTCAATTTTGTTTGTTGATCTTTTCTTCAAGGTGAAATCAAATTTTTCTCATTTTTGAGAAAATATACTCAACACCTATTGCAAAATTCTGCTATTTTTTTTAGAATTGTTGATTTTTTGAGCGTATTTTACAAAATTTCCAGTTCATTCTTTTGAACAATATCCAGAAAGTTTTGTGGTGCTGTTTTCTGCCCTTACAAACAAAACACTGTTAGTATTCAACAACAGAGTGAGCAAGGTATAATCTGGTGGGTAGTTATTTTATTTCAATCAAATAAACCTATTCAAATATCCTGTTTGTCAGTGTCCTTCTGCTTTCTATCCTTAATGTAACAGGTCACAGTGGATGTAGTAAGAACACACTATTAATTCTAGGGATATCTGCTCACTTAGTTCCTACTGAGAGTAGTCACGAACTGATTTCTTTATAATAGAAATAATGAAATTAGAACATACTGCAAATATACTACTGCAAATAAATTTTGCTAAGTCATACTCAAAAGTACAGCACAAAAATCAAAGTAAGAAACAAGACAAAAATTCTAGATGGATAAATTTAAGTGAAAAAGCAAACTTCTGGAGAAGTCTAAGGAGGAGACAGTGATGGAACTAAAGTAGAAAAAGTGGCAAAAGCACTGTCTGAACCCAACAAAACTTCTAGGATGAAAAATTAGGAATATCTAAACAGCTTCCTTTTCTTCTCCCCTTATTCCTCTCCCCCACCCCAAGACATCTAATCAAAATTAGTAAGTTCAGTCAACACTTCAAAGTACCTCATATTTGATTGTGCTTTCAAAGCAAGATAGCAGGAGCATAACTGCAGATACAAAGACCGAAGGCTATGACAGAAAAACGTAGAATAAATAGAAAGATTTGAAACTTAAAAGGCAAGAAAAACACTGTTATTGAAAATTATATTACAGGAAAATTAGGGGTTTTTAAAGATCCAGAAACTACTAGTACTATATTAATTTTGAATCTGTGAGGAAACTGAGTTATAGTATCATCATAGTATTACTACAAATATTTAAACAGCACAGAGCTTATCTACACAAGCATCCAAAAGCCCACTTAAATGCCACAAATCAAAACTGAAGATCATTCACATCAATTAAGCATCACTGCAGAAGGCAGATTTCATTGTTCCTTACTCTTGAAGATGGCAAAATTAAATGCAGCATACTCTGCTGATAATCAGCCACAGAATGAAAGTGTCTTTTTCATATGGCACACCTCCATTTCTGTTCCAGAACCCATTTACTGCTGAAGTTTCTGTGACACCCTGTTATCACTTTTCATATAGCACCACAAACACCAAACCCTCAGCGTGAGCATTTATCCTCCAGCGAATTTGGCACCAGTAACTTGAACTGGTTTTCCCTGTCATGAGCAGGTGCAACAATTCATTCCTTCCATGACTTGGTGGTTAAATGTAATTGAGACACTAAGTATGTAGAGGTTTGATGGTGAAGTAATGTGCTTCATAAGGGCTGGTGGAAGGCAACCATTAAATCCAAAAGAAGTATCTTTCTAGTTTGACATCATCAAAGTTTGATAATTTGCACACACAACACACCCAAAAAAGCAGATTTTGAAATGATATTTTGAAGTTGTATAGTAAAAAATGGAAATTGGACATGAGAAGGAGAGAAAATGAATGCTAAAGGAAGTTGTATGAAAGGATGTAGCATATCAAGAACAACTTGGTTATCCAGATATTAATAGGTACACAGACATACAATCAAAGCAAATACTGAAATGGTTAATGGCTGGTTTGATTTCTAAAGATTTTTTTAAAGTAATTTTGCATTAGGGAAAGATATATTATGCAAAAGTTTTTATTATTTCCCTGTATACATGAGACTACAAACTAAATAAAATAATGGGACTAAATAAAAACATGGAGAAAAATAACCTAGGAGTAAAATACAACAGCAGATGGACATCAGTCTCCAAGGGAAGGAGTAGAGGCAGAAGTAGGATGCATTTTCCAATTTAGGTGGCAAAACACAACTCACTTCAGGCTGCAACAAACTACACAGATACTTAGGGGAGGAAAATATTTAGATTAGACTGGAAAGTTCAGGAAGTTCAACTATTCAGTATTCCCTGCCTTCCTGAAGGAGAGGTCACAATGCAACGCAGTACCTTTACAGGTCCATAACCCATGCAGGCTGGCTGGCTGCTGGGGAGGAGCAGCAGCACAGCACAAAGGGGCAGGTAGAGCACCCACCTCCCTGTCTTCCACTCCGTCCCAATCAAACCCAGAGGCTCTGCAGAAGGCAGTGCCCAGGTTTTGAGAAGTTAAGGGAGGCATGCTGTCCAAGGTAATGCACAGCAAGCTACAAAACAAATACCCTAAAATATGTATCAGTATGGATTTCAATACTGCATGATGGCATAGGTGATAAAAGTCAGTGCCTTCTTATCTGTCCCACAGCACTGTTGTGTAAACAGTGCTGGTGATCACACAAGAAAGGTTAATTTTTGTCTGTAGCTGTGCAAACCAAACTGCAGCAGATTGACAGCAGCAGTACACAAGTTTGTTGTCTGAGACATCAGAAGCATCGTACAAAATGTAAGGACCACTATACTGGAAAGAATGCTCATTAAATGGGGAATGAGTTTAGGACCAGTCCAAAGCCTGTTTACATCAGCTTCAATCTCAGTATGAAAAACAAAGAACAAACAGAATAGCAGTTTACAGATATGAAACCTATAATATAAGCAGAAGGCAAAAACAGAAAAGGCATTGCAGAAATCATGTCAGCTCTAAGGAATTTCTACTTTGTGGAGAATAAAATTAAGTACAAACTCTTTTAATCCAAAGGCTGATAAAGATTGACAAAGTAGGGCTGAGTTGTATTTCCCTTGGTGACAGAAATAAGAATTGTCCCGTGATTGTTTGATTCTGTTTTGAGACACATTTTAATGAAAGCTAATCAGCAGTAGCTCATGCTGCAGAGTGCTTGTGTGATGCCTGCATGATACTTTGGACTTCCTCTTTTGCTGGCAGCCAATATGAGATTTGTATCCCTTAACATGATCTTGCAATCAGTCCCAGTGCTGGCTGACTGCATCTACTCCTCTTCCGGTCCATTTTAGCAACCTGACCAACATGAAAGAAATTCTTCCTTGATCTCTCAATAAAAGAAAACTTTGCAAGCACAGGAAGGTGAAGGAGGTTAAACTGGCATTGATTATTGAAGACACAATAATAATTTATTATTTAGCAGCCTCGCCATCAATCTGTTGCACATGTGGCTCTTTCTGCAAGACTCCGAACATGTTTTAAATAATTCTAAGTAAAGATATTGGAAAACAATGTTGAATAAATGTATTATTTATTAATACATTTATTCTATTAGTCTATTATAAGATGAGGATTGCTTGACATGCTGCACTTGAAAGCAGCAGGTTTGTAGAAAACCTGAGTGCCTCCCAATGTATTCCCTGGTATATATACAATAGTCATGTTGATATTTTACTTTCAATTTCCTCAAGTAGCAAAGTAGCAAAGTAGCAAAGTAGCAAATTCACTTAAGGACACTAGCATTTCTCATCATGGAAGACCCTCTTTTGTCCTTATCAGAAACTACTTTATGTTTTAATTCCGTAGTTAAGTTTCACATTAAACTGTTTTAATACAGAAATGACATTAAGCAGTTTGCTTTCCAGTTCAAACAGTTTTTTATGAGAAACACTATCTTTACTGCTACAGACTTTATCTTCTACTTGCTTACTAATACAGCTCTCTAAAGTAATTTCCGCTGAGAAATCTCCATGTGCTGTATTGGGAAAAAATCAGAGCTCTATCAGAAATATTATCCAACAATTCAAAGCTATTGCAGGACATTGCACTATCCGAACTTTACTGATCACCTTGACAGTCAAATTCTCACTGTAATTATATTTTAGCCACTAAAATAAAAAATATTTTAACGACTTCCATTCTGGTAACTGCTCACACACTTACCCAAAACACTCATTCAATACTGTTTATACTTTTTCAGAGCAGTCCACAGAAACAAGAACATTTCCTCTCTGTGAAACACTTCATTTTCTCCTTCTTCACCCATTCCTTCCTAAATATAGACTCGCCTCTAGCTTTTTTTATTACTGTACACCCTACGGACAAAAGGATTAATTCCTCATCTAAGCCAAAGTCAGAACTTCCACTTACTTTTAATGACACATCTAAATGAACTCCAAGGCTGAAGAACTGTCTCAACTACTGGAGGATGTCCAGAAATTTAAAAAAAACAAAAAAAAAAAAAATGAAGGAGTGCTTTATTTTGGGGACTAACTTGTCTCAGTTTTCTCAACTGTAAAACAGGTACCTCAAGATTACACAGTGGAACAAAAGAATATATGAGAATATAAACCAAATCACTCATAGAGGCATTGTTTTAAGCATTTCTGAATTATTACACTGTGTAGTGTATATCAGTATTTATACTACATTAATGAAATAATGCTATGCAAATTCCTGATAGCACTTTTATACAACTACTATTAGCTTCTAAATTTGAATTAAGGAAAAATAAAAATGTGAGGACATTTCTGTTGTTGTTGTTTGGTTTTTTAAATTAAAACAGCAAATTTGTAATGATGAAATGAAGCTAAATTTTCTGCTTACCTCTTAAATCAGATCTGAAGTATTAAATGTACACTATTCTCAAAATGTGTAACTAATGGGGTGAAAAATACATCTTGTATTCTCTGATCTGTTTTGTATTTTTCTATTTAATCGAATTCCATATTAGCACAATATGCTTGTAGTTTTACACACTTACTGACATCCTGAATAAAATGATGTACAGATACTACCTGCAACAGTTACAACTTGTTCTTTAACATCTCATGCAAAAGCAAAGAATGTAAATGTAATTGCCACTTGGATTCAACAGAAACACAGCTGATCTAATCATTAATAGCTATCCTTTACAGAAAAGCTGCACAATCTGATAAATAAAAGAGCAAGAAGTTTAAACAGTATTACAAAAAGTGCTAACACTATTTATTTGCACATTCCTCCTCACTGAGTCCACCTCATTGTGATCATAGCAGGCTTGTGTTATTCCTGTAAATTCATTCAAATTTCTCTGCTATCAATCCCTTGCAACTGAATTTTCACAAGAACTCTGTACCACATAAATACAGGTGAAGCGTTGCTCCATACAAAAACATTCAGCATTTCCTTTTATTCCTGCATTGCAACAGACTGTATGAGATAATACATTACTGAAAATTGACAAGGTAGGAATTTTATCAGGGAAGGCTGAAAAATATGTTCCACTAATTGAAGAGAATGACGCTAAACAAAAGGATTTGTTTAACTTATTGTCATTATTATAACATTTAACACTCAAATCTGAGCCAGAAAATTGAACCTGTTTGGGAGAGGAGGCTCTAATGTTATTTTTTACTCCCAGCAAACTCCAAGGGAACACAGAAGGGAAGAAAAAAAAAAGGGAAGAAAAGATATAATCTGCTAACAGCATGAATCCCTGCAGCATGAGTACCATATATTTGATTTGGGAGAAAACAACCAAAAGCATAAATCACATTGCTTTAAAAACACCAGACAAACAACATAACACAAAAATAAACAAAACAACACCAAAAAATCCCCCAAACTTTACCTATTTCCTGTTCCCATTTTCAGTGGAAGAATTTTATTTGACAACTAATACATAAGAAAGTATTGTGAAGGATAACTGGTCACAGAAGAAGTGGATGTCGTATTGCAATACAGAAAAATGTTTTTAAATATTTTTGAATATTCTGAATTTTTCAACAGTAACATATACACACCTCAGAGTTTCAGTAAATTCCACCAGACATGACTTCACAGACACAGTAGAATATAAGGGCTCATGTTTGGTAACCCACAAAAAAGAAGTTAGTGCAGATAAAACTTTTAATATTAAAGTGTGAAATTTTAATGTTTCTATTCACAGACGACAGAACTTTAATGCTCCACTGACACAGAACTAAAAGGAAAATTTCAAAACCTGCTTTATAACCAGAGGTCTTTCCATAAACTTGAATCAGCTTGTAGATCTATACCAATGCACAAGCACAGCACTACTTTGCAGAAGAGTTTTTTTCGAATTATTGTTAGACTTTGCACAAGTCCCAGAATGGAACTGTGCGAAATGTTCCACAAAGATTATTCAAGAGGCTCGTGTGAGGATCTCTTACACGTATTCAAGCAATGCCACACACAGACAGAATGTTTCCATTTAGAAGAACTGGGAAAATAATATTTCTACAGTTAAGGAATCTTCATTGACTGTGTTCTTGCATGAGTATACATATTATCAATACACATTCTAGGAGAAATTCTGGCAGATGCTCTTTAGGAAACAGAATTTTAACACCACTTGGCAAAACTGTACTTATTCCATTACCTTTCAATTTTCAAATCTTGTTTAGACAGCATATGACAATTCTAAACATAATAACCTCATTAACTGTCAGAAAGTGTGCAAATAAAGACTGAAAAAAAATTACAAAGCACTAATACATACCATCCACATTCATTTATGCAAATTCTCAGCTCTTCATAAAGCCTAAAATTAACAGGCATTGGTGTGCTGGCAGGCAGTTGTAATTATCTTCTCATGTTTCTGAAGGTACTTTAGAATCACCAAATCCATGCATGGACACAACAACAGCAGAGGCAAACCAGCTGACAGAAGTCTGAACACCCACAAACATGATAAGAAAAAATACTGTTTGATACAGCTACTTACATCATGGCCTGTGAGTTCTGTCTGCGTGGATTTATCTGCTTGGGAAGCCAGAGCCTTCTGAAAGCACTGAGCCTTTTCCTGTAAAACAAAATAAAATTGCCTAGGTGAGTCATGTTTTTCCTCACTGGGCTTTGCAGCTCCAAACATCCAGACAAATTCAAAACTCATGCAAGGAGAGCTGGTAAGAAATAGATTTATTATGGCGCTATTCACACTAGGAGGTTGATTTTCTTCCTATTATATGCTTTTATAAATTTATCTTTCTCTTAAACAGAGGGTGGACTCAGATGCTCCAACTCTGTGGTACAGCAGGGCCCACAAGAAGGATGGCACTGAGACAGACAGGTATGAAGCACTGAGCAGCTACAGGGACTCCAGCAAATATCAGCACCACTCCTATAGCAAAGAAATAATTTACTTTTTTAAAACATTAAGGAATATGCAAACTTGCAGATCCCAAGCCTGGGATGACTTCTGCTCCCCCCGACAGAAACATGTTAGCAAATCCTAAGCATTTCTAGGGAATTGTCTTGGTTTCTGCTTTCCCATCCTTGTCCCTCTGTACCTCAACAATTTTTGGAAGTGTGGCATGGAATCTCTGAACAGGCTTGAGCAAAAATATCTGGCTGCTTTGACATAAAAAAAGCCTGGATTCTGATACTTCATTTAAAACTGATCACTAAGCTTGCTGATCCTCATCAAGCCCTTGAGCATACTATTTTACTTTCCAGGAGAAGGTATTTGATAAAACAACTCTAAATACATGGGGTAAGGCAGGAAAAGGCACACAGGAGGGGAAGAAGAATGCAAAGTTCTTTACTGCATTGATTTATGTTTTCCTGCTTACTGATTTAGTTTAATTTTTCAGTTGTATCTGTAAAAAATGCTTACCTTGAACTCAAATTTCTCAAATGTACAAAATATAATTGAATGCTACTGACAGGAATGTAGTACAATAAAACAGAGTTTGTTTAAATTGAATTTCAAGTTAATTGACACTCAAGTCCTCATATTATTTGATTCAAGGCAAGGTATGCACATCCCTACATTGAGTAAACAGCAGAAACAAGTCAATCCCTCAGTGATCCTTATCTCCAGTATTTCAACCCTTTAAATAAGGGTTGGGGGAAAACATAATTCAGACTGATCTCTTCAGTTGTACAAAACATCTGAGCCCAAATTTGCTGATGTAACAACCAAGTTAAAACTGATTTAATAGAAAAGGAAATCCTAGTTCTCACAGAAATGGTTTGTCCTCTTGAGGTTTGATTTTACTAGTCCACTACCCAGCTCACCTTAACATGTTTAGAAAACAGGCATTATGATATATCTACTATCTTATTTTACCACATTTTACTGCTCAGAAGCTCCATCAATTTTCAAGTTACAAATACTTATACTGGGTGTTCAAGTAACACAGCAACTGGGGCAATACCATCGTTAAACTGCGTATCTGATCAAATGTAGCATTTCTGTTCTTTCTGTATGGATTCACAAATATATATTTTTGAAAAAGCAGAGAGAGAAAAAAACAGAATAAATTCAAATATTCATTAAGGCAACAAATTAACTGGGAAAGCTAGAAAGGTTGGAATAACTTTTTTTTTTTTTCCTTTCCCAGAGTTATTCCTTTAACTATGTATATGCAGTGACATCCACTTTTAACATATCCAAGTTCTGACTCCATATTAACATGGTAATCCTTTTTATTTACTTTTATTCACCTAACTAATAAAATAGGAAAACCTGAAAACTTCTAGGTGTCCAGGTACTGGAAAAGAAAGTTTGAAACTAAAACCCTTTTCATTCTTCTCCAGTATAGCAAAATAGAAAATGAAAGATTTTTACAAGCCAAGCAGCATGCTTTAACATGGATTCAGAACAAAGGAGTTACCTGGGCATCTATTCACACAACAGCCTTCTACTACCCTCACAGCATTACTCCTAAGGATGATTACTATTATTAGGTAACATTTTAAAGCAATTTTTGAAGTTTTTTCAAGCCCTGAAACTTGCTTGAGACCTTCTTGCCATTTTATAAAAGACAAAAATTTCCTTCTTTTAGAGGCTTCCTAGTGAAACTGAGTAATTATTGACTTTTTCCACAGGTGACCCAGTCCTGCTTTATGCACTTTCTCTGTGTATCTGAGAGGAGTCAACTCCCCTTTCTCTAAGATATTACATAGTAAAAAGACTGCAAATAGATCTTTCCTTATCCTTTTTCTTTACAGGGTAAACAAAATAGGTACCTTTGCCTTTTTAAATACTAAGAAGGGACCAAGTAATTTATTAAAAAAATATTTTTAGGATCAGCCAAAGTACTTCTAGGTGACTTTTTTTAAAGTGAGAGCATTAATGAGCATATTTTCTTACCATTCTGTGTGTTGTTATTGCTTCTTATTAAAATAAACAGCACAAGAGTACATTTGTAGGTGACACAGATAAGAGCATGGAAAACTTTTATTCCCTGGGTTCATCCTAATTAGAGAAAAGGCAGGAAGAGCTGATGGCTGTTTTAACAGCAACATTGCCAGGCACATTCATTGCACCCCTGTCTCTGAAACACCTGTGTGTGTGCGTGCGTATCAGAGTGTGTGTTTCGAGGGGAGAGAGAGAAAAACTACATGGAAGGACATTTTCTCAATCACTGCAGTTGCTTCAATTATTGAGATTATTGACTGTGGTATTTCAACAACCACACTGAAAAGCATTAGACCATGACCAATAAAGATCATGTTTCTCTCTATTTTTTCACATGGGAATAAGTTCACATATAGTTTATATCTCAAACTAGCTCTGGTACAAGTGTCACAGTTTGAATACTTACTATTTTATTACCATGTTTGTAATGAGTCACCAGAAGGTGCTGAAATAGGAAGACAACAGAAATCAACTGATAACTGATGCAAGTAAAAATATTACAAATAAAACAGAAAAGTGAAATGTAAGATAAAAAAGTAAGAAAAATAAGACAAAGAAAACTACTTAATTCTTCCCCAATGAAAGGCAAATAGGAAAAAAGTAGTTACTTAGATTTAGCGAGTCGGTAAGGGTTGATATTGATACATCTTGAAACATGACACTGGTTTTCTAAAACATTCCTTCTCTGAACAGGAGAGTATCAAAACAATTTTCACAGCTTTGACTAAGAACATGTTGAAGTTATTTTTTGTGACTGTTTTCTAATTCCATTCCCTACCAGTGACAGCATGGTGACCACTTGTGGTGCTTTGTTTAATTGCAAATTCCAAAGAGAAAATGCTTATTATTTCAAATTATCTCACATGGTCACATTAAATCAAGGAGCAAAACTTACTGCTCCGGCTATTTTAAAGGAAAATTCTACTGTCCAGTAGAGTTGTGGCTTTCATCCTCATGGATTATATTTTGTGTAGTAGATAGCATATTAAATATTTTTTTTCTAATGGCTGTTTCACCTTCATTGTTACTTAGTTTAAATACAAAATATATTAACTTTTTACCTCTGTCTGCTATAGTCTGTACAGATTATTCTAAGACTTTATGAAAATAAAAGTGGTGTTTTAACGTTCTGTCTCAGCATACATCCAGAACAGCCTCCAACAGCCACTAACACTGCAGTCAGATTTACAACTTAGATGTGATTATTTCCCTTAACTCAGGCCTTAACCCCTCTGAGAAAAACAACTTATGTTCACCACAGAACTGGGGAGAAAAATCTGTTCTTCAGAAGACTTATAAAAATGCAAAGTCTTTTAATTCTGATGTGCTTTGGGATTAAACTTAATCAACAGCAGCAGTTAGGCAGGGAGCAAAGGGATAACAAGTAGAAAAAAAAACTGCTTTCCACCATCTATTATACCTAATTTACAGACTACAATAAGCTACAGAACTGACTTTATGATAGCTATTTCCATAGAAATTGAGTCCCTATTGGTTTGAGTCTCAGTTTGGGAAGAAAACATATGATATCCAGCACAGCTCCAGCCATCAGCTGCGGTACAGCTGAGTCACATCACACTTGAAAACACTTTGTGAAGCCCAGCAAAAAGCCCAGCTGTCTCTTGAGCACAGCATGAGAAATCAGCTACAACTCGGTTCAGCTATCCACACATAAATGTACTATGAACTGAGGTGCTAAATAGCCACAACAGATTTAGAAGCATTACTCTGGAACCACAGTGACAAACAGGTGTGACCATCCCCAAGGGGACTATCCCATTGATCATGAGAAAAACAAGAGAAACTTGGTGGGAATGCATCCAAGTAAGCACAAAGGCAGGTTTCACTGAGGGTTACAGTGCTGTCAAATCACTGTAAACAACAAACACCAAAACTACACAAAATTTCCAAGAACATTCTATTGCTTTCACTTAGGACTCTTAAACCAAAATAGTTTTTCAGTTTTTACATTATAAGACTTTTGTAAAACACGAGGCAAATTTCAATGCATATGGTAAATATGGCATCTGCAATGAAAGACAGCACAACTTCTGCTTTGACTTCAATCAGATCATGATATCCAGGTATGAATCAAGAAGGGCTAAGACAAGCCTGTCTCCAAGCAGTTTGCAATACTTCAGTAATTAGTTACTGCCAAGTCTGAACACATCTAATGAAAAAAAGACAAGTTTCTAAAAATGCAATCGCTCCATAATAGGTCTTTGAAGATCAACAATATTTAGCAAGGTTTAAAATCTCTGACAGAGTTATAAGTCCTGCTGTAGACATGCCAGCCAACCCTACAGTACTGCAAAGGTTTACTAGACCCTAACCAGAGAGGATTATTACTGTTTTAAGTTTTGAAAGCCTTATAATCCCAAGTACTGCCTTAAACTTTTCATCCCCAAGTTCTGCAATACAAAAACTCTTCTCTTTTGCTGAGTGCTGTATCACCTTACAAATAAAAGATGACTCCCAACTTTGAGAACCCAGTCTATCTAATCAGAAAGAGAAAACACACAAAAAGTGAATCTCCTAGCCCACCAAGCTGACAAATATCAGACACAGAAAAACAGTCTTTAAAATGGTCTGTTCTGACTCATTTATTTGACTGGAAGGTGCTCTACTTTTAAATTTGCCAGTAGCATTCATATATG